CTTCTTCCACTGCTCATCGTCCAGTATCATACCGGGTTGCACAATCTGGGTTCCCGCTAGACGTGCATTGGCCGCTACTCCTTCAGACGCACCGGCAGAAGCTGATTCTCCGACATTGGAATCCATCTTGGTTGCCGACGGTGTCACACTAAACGCTAGCAGAGATCCAGTAACTTTGCGACAAAGGCTTTGGACCAGGTATTGTGTCTACAGCAGTTTATACAAGTCCCCTAGTGACGACAAAAGTATACAGTGTGATGATTTTGTCACTTACTCTTACGATATTGTTGAACTAGCAATGTCACCTGGAACAGAGTAAATTTTGGAGAGATAATTCCATTAGCGAACTTGGTGCTTGGATTTGCCTTTTCGCTTCATCCTCAGGTAGAAAAGCCGTCTCTCTCCTCTTCCCAAATCTCTCTCTCTCTCCCTCTCTCTCCCTCTCTCTCTCTCTCTCTCTCTCTCTCTCTCTCTTTCTCTCTCTCTCTCTCTCTTTTGTGTTTGTTGCTGCTGTGTTGTTGCCGTTGCTGTTGTTGTTGTCGCTGTTGCTGTTGTTCTTCCCGTTGCTGTTGGTCATTTGTAAGAGCTTGGACAATTCACTTGTCCAGGCACTAAAACAGTCTCTCTCTCTATCTCTCTCTTTCTCTCTCCTTCTCTCTCTCTCTCTCTCTCTCTCTCTCTGTTTCTATCTATCTCTCTCTCGAATCTATCTCTCCTCTCTCATCATGCATGCGTCATACTCTCATGGAATTATCTCTTATAAGATTGCATGCTTCACACTCTCATGTAATATTTCTTTCCTTCCTTCGTCTTTTTGTGAGAGCTTGGACAATCCACTTGTCCAGGCAAGAAGGCAGCAATGCCTGTTCATTCTGGCGAAGTAAAATAAAATATACCAACCAACCAACCAACCAAGTGTAACCTGTCCAAGAGCACAATAAATTGTACTGGGCGTGGTAGGACAAGTAGACCAAACAGAAACAAAACTAAACTAAACTAAACCAAACGACCATACGGGTGGGTTTCTACAAACAAACAAAACAGTACACAACAAAATCAGGTAACACCTTTACACGCGTAATTCAATGGATTGTACGAGTTGATGAGGAGGCAAGACATACTTGGAGGGGCAAGCACTGGGGCATATCCGAGACAACACAGATCCGCAATTTTCTACCCCTACATTGTAATCCCCTCGCGCAAAAAACTGAGATACAATGCAAACGGATTCCTGTCCAGAACCACAGACTGCATCTGGAAATAGCGGTGCAAGGACTGCACCTCAGCGCACATTTCAAAATCCGGCACTCGGTTTAACAGTAATAGTAGTCGATTATGAGTTTCATGCACTTCTTGAATGAAGCAGGAAATGACAGTCTGGTGGTTATCCTTGTACTGCTGTAGCTGTGCTGACGTCAATTGTGACTGATCATCAACATCAATATACACGTAGTGACGTGCACTGCTAGTCAGCCGGGCAGGATCGATTGAGGAAGATTTATAAATGATCTTGGTTCCTGGTCCGCACCATTTGTCTAAAAATCTCGGCACGCAAGAAAGGTCACCTGAAGTGTCTGCCATTGTCAATGCCATCTTACTGTATCTATCTACGGCAATAATCATCGTGCATTCGGCTCGTGGCTTGAAAACACCTAGATACACTTGATGCACACACCCAAACTGCAAATTCTTTTCAAGCAGCTCGAGGCTTTTGTGGAGTATCCAAATATATGATTTGGCTCTCGATTTAATCACCAGTTTGGTTTCGGTTGGCAGGTCAAACAGTTCGAAAAAGCCTGTCACGATGTCCAAGAGGTTTCCTGGGATACCGGCAAGATTTGATTCAGCAACGACAGTCCATGAGGACTTGCAAACGCTGCACCTCCACTGACACCTGCCGACTGACGATGGCCGAGCGTTGAGTAGAACTGGTCTTTTACATTTGTCACATTGTCTTTCATTATGAATCAACTTCCTTGTCGCCAAGAAGCGTAGCAATGACCGGTTGTTCCGTACATCCGCAGGTACGTCCCTCAAAGAATCCTCTTCCTTCTTCAACTGCTCATCCTTCAGTATCTCACTTGGTTGCACAATCTGGGTTTCCTCTAGACTGGCACTTGCTGCTGCTCCTCCAAACGCACCGGCATAAGCTGAGTCTCCGGCATTTGAATACATCTTGGCGGACGACGGGATCACAATATACATTAGCAGCGAACGACTTGAAGTAGTGACATGGATACCAAGACTTTGGATGAATAATCGTGTCGCAGACAGTTTATACAGTCCGCTAGTGATGACACAAACAGTGTGTTGATTTCATCACTTACTGTTACAACACTGTTCAATTGGTTTAGCCGCCACTTCTAGAGCACACCAAAAGTGGGGATCACGTACTCTTGACAATACCAGTTCCGGCTTTGGCGCTAGAATTTGCATTTTCCACTATACATTTATGTATTTAGTGAATCGACACGTCATCATTTGGGTCAGGCTCTAATCCTTACCGATTTGTGTCTTCGAAAATGTGAAGGAAAGAGGTTCACCCCACACCTACCATTTTCGCGATCACTTTTTCACGTTTTTTCCTGCACCTAGAGTACTGTGAGCTCAAACTGTTTGGTGTTGTTGTTGTTGTTGTTGTTTATTTATTTTACATCGCATAGCAAACGGGCAGTTCTGCCCAATATTATGAAAGCGATGTGAAGTATTCATTGGGCGCGTTCGATTACACGCATTTCGGTCAATTCTAGAATTAGTTATTGTTGATGCACAGTTCGATTACACAAAAAGTGACAAATTCCGTCGTTAGAATTGATTTTCTCCAATTCCGTCGAATCCGTCAATTTTGAAGAGAGGGCGGAATTTCTCTAATTTTGGCGCCAGAATTGCACCGTCGGTGTGTTACTGGTCTGGTCATGACTCAAGCGCGCGAAGAGCCTCCCTGGCCGGCGTGTGCGCGATGCTGGGTCCATGTGCGCGCGAGGGTGTACGTTATCTCTTTTTACGATTCATCAATTTTGTTCGTGACATGACATGAATAAAATGCGTTGTGAATTCCAGTCGTTCGTTTACAAGGCCGGACTTCGCTCATTCTGGTCATTCCAGAATTGAAAAAAAACAGTTCCAGAATTGTGTAAACGTGTAATCGAAAGCGCCCATTGAGTACTATTGAGTAACCTTGAACAATAGTCAATTTACTTGAGTGAACGCAGGATGACACTGGTAAGCTGTACAGGGCATTAGCAAGCACAGCGTCCACGGAATTGTCAATCTGACAACTGGGAGTTGAGTAGATGAGATCCACCACAAAGTGGTTTAAGCCGAAAAATCCCATTCGCTGCATTCCTGCATCCATTCCAAGCTAAACAAAACCAGAGAAGTGTTCGCTTCCTTCACCTGAGCCCGAGATTTCATGCCAAATTGACTTGGTAATTGACTGACTGATGACAGGAATCTCGAGCACATCAGCTACGACCTGTCGACTACATGTAGTTGGTTTCGACTCGACAGCGTTGCCAATGACGGAGGATCCTCAACATCTGCTCTCACCGGCCTGTTTCACGCTGATATTTTGGTGTTCACGACTTGTTTGTCGTGCTGGAAACGGAGCGTCCCTGTAAGTTCGTACCCTTGCTTATCCCACGGTTTGCCCTGGAGAGCACTATCATACCTGCACGGTCACATTCCTAGTGGCTCTCCACCTGAAGGGTCCGTCCCTCATTCACCTGCAGGCTCGTTTGCCAGTGATCTCTCGCAGATGCTGACCAGGGGCAAGTCCCTGAAGCAATCAGAGCATTATCGCTTAATCTCATTGCTGCGGCAGAGGAACGAGAAGCTAAAGGAACTCTTCAGCCCATCCCAGAAGCTGTTAGTTGACATAGCTGGTGAGTCGGGGGTATCCAGATGGCTGACGGCGTCACGGCCATGCACCGTCCTACAACTACATGTACATGTACATGTATATCATAATAGATACTGGTTTTTGCGACAATCGATCCTACACTACATCTACAGTACAGTACACAGTCAGCTATAATACAGTATTATATCAGTGCAACAAGTGTATGGAAGTCACTGGAGCAAACAAAAAAAACAAAAAAGTACGAAAAATCAAAAAATTAAATTCCGCCAACACTCTTGACCACCCATCCCCTTTTTGCCTGAGGACGGATTTTTTAATTTTGCGAAAAAGACGGACGACCCCTAAGAATTGCCTGGGTTGACTTTGGATTTTTCTTCAATCATCTTTCAGATTACATTATCATGGATTTTCAATACACTTCTTTGGATACCCATCGTACCTGCCAAATACTGATAGGGATTTTCACGATTTGTTCACGATTATCCAATTTTGGATCACCTCCCGAAAATCATGAATAATTGAAAGTGAGGTGAATTGCTGTGTTGACGATTTTCTGGCATATTGCACGCAGTTGGGTTAGGATCTCGGCCACAACAGTGAAGAAGAATGGTTACGCACAGTTTGTCCTGGTGGTGGTATGTCTCTGAAATGCTTATTAGCGATGGTACATGTATATTGCACATTTGATTGTATAACTTGTGTAAAATGGGTCTTTCTTGATGAATGACGTCACCATAAAAAGTTAAAGTGACTAATGGGAAAGAGTACATATCCCGTAATGAAGTAAATCCAGGGATTTTGCACTGACAATCCCGAAAAACACTATCAGTACTTGACAGGTGTGCAAACGCCACTGTCGTCAACACATGGAACCCCAACCGACTCTTTGTGGCCATGTCCGAAATGACCTTGCCATAGGTCCAGTGGCATCTGGGATTGCTACCGAAAACTGCACGAGGAGCAACAATACCTTCAATAATTATCATCTCTTAGTGGCCACTGGCCATCGCGAGAATAATTATATCAACAAAGTTTTGCAGGAGGATGCACCCAGTGTGCTGACAGTGCTCAACACCACGGAGGCAGAGCGTAATACAGAACAGCAAGGACAATCAAGGCTTGTTGGATGCTCAGAGAGTAACCGAGGTTGACGCGCCTTGAAGTGTCTCAATAAAGGTTTGAAAATTGAAACACACGAATGCAATTGAACACCGAAATCAAAAACTAGAGACTGCTGAGTACATTCTGTAAACCACAGGTACTATGTACTTCAGTAGCAATATGAACACTAAACGCCAGCGGAGCTCATTATATACAAACGAATTGGAGAGATCCGAAGGCATTCGCGGTTTTGTTGCCGCTTGGCCCTCCCCACACAGGCGCAGTGCTAAACATGGTGAAAAGAAACTCAGCATCTAGAGAGAATCAGTTCGCCTAGAACAATGGCTAATAATATGCAGAGCAGATCAGCAGACTCCGGGGCAGCATGTCTAAACAACCCCTAGAAACAAAATGCAAAAGAGGGGACGAAAGGAATTTCGCACAAAAGTGATGCTGGTAACGGAAAGGCATGAAAAAGTAACCACGCACATGTGTATAGGGCAGAGGCAGCTAAATGGTGTGAACGGCGGGATGGGGGGGGGGGGGGGGTATGCTTAAAACCAGTGCGTGTGGAAGAGTACTGACAAGGGATCTGCATACACGGCCTTCAATTAATGGTGGCGACTGCCAATACGCTGAGCAGCAGGGAGATGAGAGCGGAGAGCATCAGCATACACGGCCTTCAATTAGTGGCCACGGCTGCCATAACGCTAAGCAGCAAAGAGACGAGAGCGGAGAGAGTAAGCATGCACGGCCTTCAATTAATTGCCGCGACTGCCAATACGCTGAGCAGCAAGGAGACGAGAGCAGAGAGCATCTGCATGCACGGCCTTCAATTAATGGCCGCGATTGCCAATACGCTGAGCAGCAAGAACCCGAGAGCGGAGAGCGTCAGCACTGACGCACCGCTGTCTTCACCGGACGGCGTGGTGGAACTACGCTCACCATAGTTGAGAAGGGGAACACCGGCCTTTCCTTCACGACTGGCGGTGTCGTAGAACACGTTGCAGTACAGTCCGGAGGAAGTCTTGTTGAACTCCGGAATCGTGACGTTGGCAAACACAAACCCGTCGCTGTTTGTGTACGTATCGTGGACTTTGAAGCACTGCGATCGGTCGAAGTACTTGTTACCGCGTCGAATATAGACGTCGTCAGCATTAATTGGTCCACCTCCACCTCCACCCCCGATATTGAGATAGGACACACAGTTCTCACAATACTCAACAGTACGGCAGTAGAGGTTTATGGCGTTGGACACATTGAAGACGTTCTCGCAGGAAAGCAGATTGTAGAAGATAGCGTTTTGTGGACCGCCGTCAGCCGCATAGCTCGCTTGACGTAAGACCCGACTGTGCAGACAAACACACAGACACACACATGCACACACAGACATACAAACACACAAACACCGACAGACAAACACACAAATCTTCAAATGGACTGGATGTGCACCCAAAGATTTTCTCTTATAGCAACGATAGCGGATTTGATTCTGAATGAAACAGTTCAAGACAAGCGCCAGATAACTGTCTAATTCACTCAACTGGCGAAGCCATGTAAATTGACCCTAATCCACACCTGGTCTACATCACACAGAGCATTGGAAAAGGACGGCAAAGACAGTTACTAGACTCCGGTGGAAAGCCAAGGATGAGTTTATAAGAAGAAAAGAGGACCAAAGAGCTACAAGTTACGCTATACCGTAATTCCGCACATATATGCCTACGGGCCTATATCCGGATATAAGCCCACCTCCGTTTATAGGCCCATGGGCTAATAAACAGACACAAATGCAACTCACGTGTCAAGTAGAATTTTTCATAAAATAGACTCTTCCTACCATGGTACAGCAGGTCAGTGACAAGTGCAACAGCAGATTTACTGTAACTACCAGCATTCAACAGGAAACCTCCATCATTTCTGTATTCCCGCGTTTGATCGCCCCGCAACCTCTTCAGTGCAATTTACCAGTAGAGTATGGTAGAGTCACTATGAGCACGGACTTGTACTTTTTCGTGAACCTTCAAAATTCGAATATTGGCCCATGGGCTAAAACACGAACATGTTTTACTGGATATTTTATCCCCAAACTGCATTATTTCACATATAAGCCCATGGGCTAATATGCGCGGAACTACGGTAAGGTCTTGGTTGCGCTCACCTTCCCCTCCTTATGTTATTTCTATAACTTAGAACCTTCCAAGTTGGAAGGCTTTTGGATTGCGCATCCGAGTCGTGCTAGAGCTGATTGCAAGTTAGTTGTAGAACGTCAGTACCGTCGGTCAGTGTCGTGCAATGTTATCGCATGAGCTGATTGTTTAGTAACTGGTGGTGTTATTTGACATTATTGCGTAACCTTTAGTTCCTTGGTCTTTTTTTCTTTCTATAAAGGTTATTAATTTTTTTTACTATTTTTCATAAACCTGACTCGTAAAATATATTATTATGTGGACAAAAACAAACAGCTGCTGAGTAGGGGCTGAACTGGGCAGCAGTGATGGCGAGGTGTACATATATTGTATTGGCTTGGCCGCAGAATAAGGAGATAAGAAGCACCTCGGATAGAATGTACTTTTTCCCATTCTCTGAGGGACAACATATCTGACAATGTTTACTAGCGACTATAATCGAGTAATCGATCGTTAACCCTTTGTGTACCAGCCCCATCTCGAACCGTACCATATGGTACGGTTCGCTGCACTCCAATCAAGCGCGCCGTTCCCCGCCGCCGTAGCTCCGATCGACCCGCGGTTTTTTGCGCTTGACAGCTGAGATCCCACTGAAAATTTTGATGTATGACATGGGTAGGGCGCCATTTGAAAGTATGGAGAACGAACGCGTTCAAAAGTATGCTTTTCAGCGCAAACAATTGTCGCTGTTTCGATCGTGTTCTCGCTCAGTTTCTCTGCTTGTAGCGAAGATGTAGCTTGTTCTAGGTCATGTCGACGTCTTCTAGACGTGGTGGACGATTGGAGAGATCGGCTGTGGCGATATCATCGCGGAATGCGACTCGAAATTGAAAATTTGTATCGCTGATCCCATCGCAGTATTCGCTCTCAAAACAGGAGCGAGAGAGAGGGCAGCGATGGCCTAAAATCGTCAAGGCAGGCGTAATTCACCAGCCAACGACTGCTTCTTGTCTTCTCTTTCACTTACCTGACGCTGGATGTGAGTAGATGAAGAAAAATATAGATTTCGAATCTGAGACAAGAATTCAAAATTTGCAATTTTGAACCAATTGTTTTACCTCAAATGTGTGAAAATATGACCATTTCCCTGGTATGTTGTTACTCTTCATGCACTGAGACAACGCTTATGAGGTTGTTTTGTCCCTATGTTCCCAGTACACGAGCACAAACTAATTCTCAGTCTATTTGTTTGTGATACCCTTGTTGGTCAGAAATATGCACAATTGGCGCGTATCTTTGGTATTCCACCTATGGCCTTCATATACTACTGCATGCTGTACCAATATCCATGCTTACCTGGGTGCAGTGATACATATGGAGTCAGGAAAACACAACTTGCATATACAAAAGTTGTCTAGATTTCATACCATGGTTGCTTCTTTGGCTGCGTTAGCCCCTTACATACATTAGATGGCTGGTACATAAAGGGTTAAACTGAGAGAAATCGAGAGTTGAAAATCCATATTCACTTCAGGCATACAATAAAGTTTAAATCATCATCAACGGCGGGCTATGATGTCAGTTCTCTTCCAAATATCTTGGATCTGATCACCAGCGCAGTGTTTTACCATGGGTACGGAATGACTGCCGAAAGGCTATGTATGATAAGATGGGGGTGCAGGTTTCCAATTCAATACAGCCTTTGTTGGAGGTCAGTTCAGCTGGTGTTGTTTATCATACATGTTTCAATAAGAAACTTACTCGAATCTCGGCATTGACGAGTTGGTTGTCTGGTTCAGACCACAGTCGTTGCACTCATAACGCAGCACTGCAAACGGCTGCGCAGGTAACATATTCCGTTCCTGCACAGACAAAAAGAGGAGAGGACAACCCCGCATACTTGGCTAGGCATGGTACGTTGTGACCTTTCGCAGCTGTCAATGATGGCCGCAGCGAGGTAAAGTGTGAAATGCCTAGCAGTGTGTTTATTGAAACGAGTTAAGAGTAACTCTCCACCACTGTAACTAGATACAATATTATAGTCAGAATGTCTCAGTACTCTGTCAGTTTTGTGCCTAGGTGTTGAGACATTCTGACTGTATATAGTATCTAGTTACAGTGGCGGAGAGTTACTTTTAACCCTTTCACTGCCGCTGTCGACTCCAGTCGACAGCCCATTTATGCACTCTGAGTGCCGCTGTCGACTGTCGACTGCACGCTGTCGACTGCAGTCGACCAGCAAGAATGCAGTTCCCAGTGCCGCTGTCGACTGCAGTCGACAGGCCGACTTCGCCCAGTTTGGGCCACTATTTTTGGGGTATTGGAGATGTTTAGCTGCCATAAAGGGTTACTGGGCTCTGGAAGAGGTCCATATCCATTGAAATACGCTGCCAGGAGTAGGGGTTGCCATTTGAAAAAATCGAACCAGCGTCGTTGAAAATGCGTATCCGATTTTTAACCGAGCGCCGCTGAAAAATCGGTTCCCACGCACTGCCTCCTCACTGAGTCGGTGCGAGTATTTTTCTCTTTCCGGTCAACTTTCATTGCATAGAGCATGGAATTTGGTTCAGACTTGATGCCTAGCTATTACCCAAGACTCCAGGCGGCTATCCATTGCGACAGGCGGTTGGAGTCACGGGTAGAGGCAACAGAACGACGGATTCCTCACGAACGCACTTTGGATGCAGCTACAAACTCGACGGAAACAGCGCTGGCGGCGCTCGCCGGATCCAGAACTAGATTTTCCTGAGAACTAAAACGTGACAATGGCGACCAGCACGGTCAAGGGACAATACAGGTATGTCAGCTAGAACACTAGTATCATAATATTATTCTTTCCGCAACACCACCTACCTCAATACCTGACGATCTACTGCAAGCTGATGCGGAAGTGCATTACACCCGCGAA